GGGCGCCCTCTCCGTCGGGTTGGCGTTTCTTGCTCTCGTTCTCGCCCTCCTGATCTGCTCCTGCAACAGCCGTGTCCTTGTCATTCTGCTCTGCTCCTGGGGCTGCTGCCCCGTGCGCTAGCTTTTCTGCTCCTGCAGCTGCTGCCGCTGCCCCGCGGGTTCCCTTTTTCCTTGGCGTCTCCGGGGCTCGCGCGCCGAGCTATGGGTTCGTCTGGTAGGGAAACGGCTTCCGAATCGGCCCCCGCTCTGTCGGCGCGGCCCCCCTCGGCGGAACCCCCTTGTGCTTCTCCGCGGTCTCATGCTGGCGCATGCGCGGCGCTGCCGTCTCGGGCGTCTGCGGCTTCGTGGGCGGAGGGCCTGCTGCTGCCGCAGCTGCTGCCGCTGCCGCCTGCGGCTCCGGCGCGGCCACGGCTGCGGCGGCGGCCTGCGGCGGTGTCCAGCGGCGGGGCGTCTGGCGCCACGGGCTCTGCCAAGCCGCCGGCGCTGCTGATGGCGGCCCCCGTGCATTCTTTTCACGGCCTTGCGCGCCTGCGCAGTAGGGAACTGCCATGAGGAGATCTCGCACTCGGAATCGGAACTGTCGTCTGCACTCGTTCCCTCGGGCTTCGCTGGCAGCAGGCCCTTGGGCTGCGCGGTCGCGTCGGCGGGCGTCAGCGGCGAGCCGGCCCCCCCTCTTCCACCTCTTCCTCCGCGAGGCTGGACATCTGGCTTGGGCTGCTGCGTGCCTCTGCTGCTGGCAAGCGCGCGGCTTCTTCTCCTGCCGGCGCCGTGGCCGGCGCAGTGGCCGGCGCCGCGGCTGCCTCTGCAACGACGGGCTGCTGCGGAGGGAAGGAGCGTCGCTGCGTCTTCGCTGCAGGGGCCAACCGGGGCCCGGTCGGGGGCGGCGCGCTCGGCGGCGGGGGCGGCGACTGCAGAATACTGGGGGGCGGCAGCGGCTGCAGGCGCGCTGCGGGCATCTGGGGGCGCGACTGCCACGTAGGCAACTGCGGCGTCGCGATCACTGGCCGTTGCTGGATCGCCCCCGCGTTCTGCAGCTGCTGCGCGACCTCCAGCGCCGCCTGCGACGCCGCGGGCGGCGCCGCTGCTTGCCTCGGCGCTTCCGACGGGCCTGCTTGCGACATGGGGGCAGTCTCGCGCCCATGGCCCACCTTTGCGCGCGCGAGTAGGACGTCGTTGAGCGGCGGGCTGGCTGGCGGGCAAGGCTGCGGCTTCAGCGTTGGCGGCAGCATCGCTGGCGCGCTCTTCGGCGCTGGCCCTGGGGAACTCGGGGGCGCGGAGTTGCTGGGGCTGGAGGCGCGCGAAGAAATCACCTCGACGTCGACGTGCGAAATGAGAGGTCGCATCGGGCCAGTCTGGGGCCCCGTCGGCTTGGGTCTGGGGGGCGCGAGGGCGCGCCCGCGCTCTGCGATCTCCTACCCCTCGCGCTCTTCGGTGTCCTTCCACCACCTAGGCGCTGCCATCCGGCGCAGGAAGGGCGCCCCCCCTGCGCAGGAGGGGCGCCCCGGCACAGAGCGGCAGCAAATTACCGAATCGATAATCGATCGCGCCTCGCGGCTTCTCGGTGCCGCGCTGCCCCCGCTCCCTGCCCTTGTTCTTCTCATTCGCGCCCTGCGTCTGTCTCTGCAGCTCGCGATGGCCGAAGGCTGCCGCGCGGCGGCGGTCTGCCCTGCCCAGACCTGGCGCTTGCTCGAGGGGCGCGAGCCGCCGTCGATGCATTCCCCCTCGCCGCGGCGCCTGCGCTCCGACGGCGGGCGGCGCGCGCGCGCGCCGAAGGGGGCCTTGCGCAGTCCTTTCGGGGCGTCGCCCCCCCCCCCCCCCCCCCCCCCCCCCCGCACGCCCCCCTCCTCTCCCTCCGCCCCCCCTCCTCCGTCATCGCCCGTGGCGCCCCCTCCATCGCGTCGCCCCCGCGCCTGCGCCCGCCGCCGCCGCCGCCCCCTGGCGGGCCCACCCGCTCCGCCTGGAGCCGCGCGCAGGCCGACGTCCATCGCCGGGCGAATCTCTCTCGACCGCCCCTCATCCTTCCTCCTCCTCCTCCCTCCTCCTCCTCCTCCTCCTCCTCCTCCTTCCCCTCCTCCCTCTCTCCGCCTCGCCCCCCTTCCCCCCCCCCGCCTCCGCCCTCCCCCCCCCCCTCCCCCCCCGCTCCTTGCGCCCCCCCCCCCCCGCCCCGCCGCCCCCTAGCTCTGCTCGCGCTGCCCTCGCCCCCCCCCTTCAATCCCCGTGCTGCCGCGCGCGCCGTCGCATTGCCAGTCTGCAGAGCCGGCGGCGCAGCGACGAGCGCGCGCTGCCCCCGCGCGGCGCTGCGGCGCGCGCGCGCCCTCGCCCTTCGCGGCAGCGAGGCTGCGCGGCCTCTCGAGCCTGAGGCGCCTGCAACGTGGGCAACTGCCCCGCCCTGCCCCCTGCCCCCCCCCGCGCCCCCCGCGCGCAGGAGGTCGGGGCAAGCTGTCGCGACGCTTCCGCTGAATAGCAAACCGAGCGAAATTGTTGAGCGAGCTTGGAAAACTGAACAAACTGTCGATTGCAAACTGAATTGGACATGCATATATAAACGCAGATATACATGTTGAGTGATACGCATTGCGCCTGAATGCGCGCGGCAATGCGCGCGCGCGGGTGCATGCGCGCGCGCGCCTGAGAGCGCGCGCGGCTGTCCGCGCGCAGCAGTCGCCGTCGCCGCCGCCAACGCGCGCTCGTCGCCCCCCGCCGCCGACATTCGCATGCATTGCGCGCGCGTGCGAATGCATACGCACGCGCAAATGCCGCCCCGAAACAATTTGCTCGCAGTCGGTCCGCCGCGCCAACCGCCGCGCGGGAACGGCGCCAGCACCGTTCTGCCCGGGCCCTCGCACATCCGCCGCGCGGAACCAACGCCTCACAGGGACTCCGAGATCACGTTGCCCCAGCGCTTGCAGAGGGCGCCGTTGAACCCGCAGAGACGCGCGCCCCGCCATGTGGGGCCACCGTGTTTTTCTGATTCCAGGGGGGCCGCGCGTTCTGTCGCGCCCTGTCACGTTTTGCAATGTCGCGAGTTATATGTCGGCGGAATTCTGCGCGAGCAGCTAAATTGTTCTGTCGCGCCCTGTCACGTTTTGCAATGTCGCGAGTTATATGTCGGCGGAATTCTGTAGAGTCAGCGCCTTCTCCCCGATTGCGCACGCCTGGTGCTCGTTGCCGAAAGGTCCCCGCGCGGCGCCGCAATGCGCCCCCCCCCCCCCCCCCCCCCCCCCCTGTGCTACATCGCGACGCGCTTCCTCTCGGGGGCGTCGCTGCGGCGGGTTTAAACGCGGCCGCGGGGGCCTCGAGGCCCTCGACCTCGTCGGGATAGGGCTGCCCACCCCCCCCCCCATTCCCCCTTGCTGTCTTCCTGCGCGGAAGGGGCGCGCCCCTCCTCGCGCCGTGCCCCCGCGGGCACCTTCGAGGCCGTGGGCCTCTTGCTCGGCGCGCCATGGCTCGGCGGCTTCTTCTCGAGACGAGTCTAGCGCGTTGCATCCGGCGCCTGCGTTTCCTCGTCGCTGCCGCGCGCCCTGGCCGCGCGCGCGCCCCCGGGCCCCGGCGCCAACTTGCGCTCCACGGTCCCCGCGCCGCTTCGCCCGATCAGGGGCGCGCGCTCCTAGTCGACGGCAAGGATCTCCGCGTCGCCCTTCTCCTCGTCGCACTTCTCGCGCTGGCCCCCCATCGGGGGCGGCGGCGGCAGCGGCGGCGCCGCCTGGCGAAGGCGCGATGCTGACGGGGTCAGTGCCGTGCGGCGCCAAGATCCTCGCCCCCTTGCCCAGCGGGGATGCCCGTGGGAGCCTTCACGCGGCGCGCCTTGTTGATCGACCCTGGGCCCATCGCGGGCCCGCTGCCTGGTTCCAGCCTTCCAACCTCGCCGACGCGCTTCGCTGCGGGGCGCGACTTCGATCCGCCCATGGCCGTTCTCCACTTGAGGAGGAGGTGTTAAAGAGCAACCGACAGCTGCCGCGCGTACATGTTGGCGTCGTCCTTGGCAACGCCGAGCTTTTTGATGAGCGCCTCTCGCAATTGAGGCTCAGCAGTCCGACGTGCGCATTGGATGACGTCGCCCAAGAGACCCATGCTGTTGCCGACGGAATCGTCCATGTCGGACTGGTAAGTTCTCCTCTGCATGATTTCCGCCTGGCAAGACTTCGCCAAGTTCTCCAAATTATCATCCATAACGGTGTTCTTTCCCCGACAGGCCATATGTACAAAACACAATTTGAGCGCAAACGGTTTCGGATCGGGATATGTTGTGTGGTTGCTCGTTGTTCCGTCCCCTCTTGTACAGGAGGGATGACGTGCCCACAGTGAGCAATGTTGTCAGCTTTACCCCAAACTATTCACATCTTGGGAAAGGCTGTCGTCGCTAATCAAAGACACAGGGGTTGCGCGGATGAATTAAAAATCAGCATGGCTAATTAGAGCAGATTGAACCCTCAAGGTAAGAGGCCCCCAAGAAGGTCCAAGAGTGCCCAAGAGGCCCCCCAAGAAAAAACCGAAACAGCCCAAGAGGGCCCCAACACGTCCCATGAAAACCTCATAACAGCCCAAGAATGCCCCAAGATGGCCCCAAGCAGGCCCAAAAAGGGGACCACGAACCATCATTTCGAGCTTCCCGTTCCAATAGGCCCCTGAAGGCCCAAAGAGCCCCGCAAGGGGACCGAAAAAGCCCCCAAGAGACCCCCAAGAGGCCCAACCGGGGCCCCAACAGGCCCGAAAGCATCCAAAAGGCATTTCAACCACAACCCCAACACGGTGGCGGGAAGGGCCGCAGGCCACCAGGCTCCGTGTCTGTCTCTACTACGACTCCCTCGGCCCACATGTGGAACATCTCCTTCGCCTTCTCTCTCCCCTTCCATCTTAATCCCCCTCTTCCTCCTCTTCCTCCTCCTCCTCCTCGTATTCGTCGTCGTCGTCTTCAGAATCGGCGGCACCCGCCGTAAGGCCTTAGCATTAACCAAAAATACTCAAACAATCGTCCCCTGAGTATTTGTGACTATGTTTGCATATTCCTCCTGTAGAGTGACAGGACCGACTTAAAACTACGAGAACGGCGCACATGCATCGTACCATGTCTGGACTCCCTACAGGCCCCGCCCCCGCGCGGTACGGTGCGAATCTTTGTTGTTTTGGGGACTGGAAAACTATGCACCGTTCCGTTCCTTGGTCGAGGTTCGACGACACCTCGAGGAGCGCCAACGCGGTACGGTGCACACATGTCGTCCGCGGCAACGTGAGGTCGGCCGGCTCACTTGATAGCGTTTTTGTAGCATCGCTTCCAGGACTCGAGGTCCTTGAAGGGGTGGAACGCCGCCCTGTTCGAATCGTCGCACTCGCCCGCGCCCTTCTGGCCAGGACCCACGCACACGTCGTCGCCAACCAGGCCGAAGTCCTCGACGCTGCCAACGCCGATGTGGTCCATGCAGCGGGTCATGAAGAAATCCTCCCCCCACTCCTGCCACGGCAAAGACTTCCTCTTGGAAGAAGGAAAACGGCATAAACATAAACGCTCGGAAATCCACGCGGAGTTTATGATCGTCGCTGGACTCCCTGGCGCGCGCAGCGCGCTGGGGGCGGGGCGGTGCCATGGGCGGCGCCAGGAGCGGCGCCAAGGTGCGCCAGCGGAGCTCCACAAGTTTATGGTCATGCTTAGTCTACTCCTCCAATCCACCGGGTCGGACGACCGAGGAGGGAGGGCAGCAAAGCAGGGGTTCGCGAATCAGCTCGCGCTGATCTTCCTGGCGCCTCCTGGCGCTGGAGGCGCCGCGGTGTCGAGGAAAGTGCCTGGCGGCGAAGACAAAGCCAGCTGAGAAGTCAACAGCGCATACAGCCGGAGGAAGGACAGAAGAACATGCTCCAAGAGCACGGGACCCTGCGCCGGCCTGAGCACACCGAACTATGAGATCACCGAGGGCACCTTTCCCCAGGAGGCACAAGAACATGAGACAAACACGAAGAACACGATGGTACCCTCACCGAGACGCCCTCGATCTCATAGTTCGGTCCAACGGAAGAAACCTTTTGGCCCCAGCGCCGCCCCATCAAACATCCGCACAGCCCTCCGAAACACGGTGCCTGTGCCATGCTCTTCGTCGACCCCCCCCCTCCCCAAGTCCTGAAAGGCTTAAGCGACAAGCAACAGTAGCACCTCGAATCCTTCGGGAGGGGACCTGAGCCAGGAAGATCACGTCACATTAAGGATAAAAAGGGGTCTTTTCTGCAGAGGTATCAGGCCAAGCCGCCTAGAGCGATCGTCCCTAATGCAAGCACGGGGGCCTAAGTGAGGCCACGACTTCATCGCGAGATTCGGTTTCGGGTTGTTGTTTCTCGACGATCACAGACTGGCAATAACGCCACCAGCCCTGGTGACGCGAGTTGTTGAGGGCGTTTCCTCTTCGAGCCCCCCGTCTTCCCATTCTGGGAGGGGGTTGCCCCTCCCCTTGCCCCCAACCCAGGACGGGGGGTCGCGAGCAGTGAGAGAGTCCAAAGTGAACGAATTTGGCCGCACTTTGGTGTTCTGAAGGGGCAGCGCAAATCTGCTACGACCCATCCTTTGTGATCGATTTCCTCGATGATGTCCCCACCGTGGCCCCCGTGGCTTGCAATGGTGCCCCAAAACGGCCCCAAGAGGTGCCCAGAAGGCCCCAAGAAGCCCCCAAGATACCCCCAAGAAGCCCGCCAGATGCACAAATGACACGCCCCAAAAGCCCTTGGCGAGACGGCCAAATTCATTGCCTTAACCAAAGTGTTGGCCACATGTTGGCCAGGTGGTGGAAAGAAAAGGGAAGGGCTAATCACACCAGCGCTCTGGGCGTGAGTGGTTTGGAACGCTTCCTCTTGTAACGCCCTGTTTTCCCATTTCACGGAGGGGCTTACCCCTCCCACGACCCCTCCTCACAGGTCTGGATGGGGGGGCGGCGAGCGGTCAGAGCGTCCAAAAACGGCCTCGGCGGGAAGGCACAATAACTTCACCACGGTTTTGGCCACACGTTGGCCTCCCGGGGGGGGGGACTTTTGAACGGCCCCTCGTTTGATCGGTCTCTTCCTATATGGCCCCAAAACGGAAACCGAGGCTCCAAGATGCCCCCAAGATGGAGTGCGTATTTTAAAGGAAATCCAAACACATTAAAACGAAGAACAGAAAGGCTTCCCAGAGGCACCCAAGACGCATCGAGACGCCAACGGGACCGCCACGAGGCCCCCGAGAGACCCCAGGACGCCTACACTAAGTTTTCATGACGCATCCGAAGAGCGTCCGTGGAGCACCCGAGAGGTTTCTGGAATGTTGCTCGCCCTCTCCCTCCTGATTCATCCGTCGAATCTTAGGTCGAGCATGTCCCCCTACAGGCGGATTTTGAGCGACAAGTAAAACATTGTCAAAAAGACCCACACATACATAATAATATAATCGAACAGGTCGCCCCACTATTTTTGACAATTGTTGAGTCTTCCTCCCATAGCCGTGGAAGGCTTCGGCAAGTGGAGCGGAGGCGCCTACCCGCGCGCGCACCGCGGCGAGGTACCCCGCAGGGCCGAAGGTCGGGCCGCGCGCGGGATTGAGAGCCCAAGGCCAATCGTGGATCACGGCATGATCTGAAGCCCCTTTGAGACGGCGGCAATCAGCATCCTGGCTAGTCGCGGAAAGGTCGGCGGGGAGGCCATCGGCCGCGGCGCGCGAGCGAGACAGCAGACGGCCGTCCGGGGTCCGCTCGGGGTCCTCCCCGCCTGCCAGCAGGATGAGGTCGCCCCCGACCAGCGGCGCGCCCTCCGTGCGGCGCCTTTGGCGCTCGCCGCTCGCGGCCCAATGGTCGACCCGACCGCTGATTGGGTCTCCTCCGCGGCAGCCGCGGGTCCTCCGCGGCAGCCGCGGGCAGCCTGGCTTTGAAGGTCCGCCTGCAGAGCGGGGGCGCCCCACGCGTCGAAACGCCCCGGCAATGGGGCTCCTCCAACCCCGCCGCGGCGAGGGCCTCGAGCGGGCCGGCCACGCGGGCCCGCGACTCAGCGCGGGAAGCGAAGAAGGCTGGAAACGCCACGTCGCCGGCACTGCAGACGTCGATCAGAACACAGGGCCAACGACGCCTCGTCGAGCGGTCCGCCGAGCAGGCGCGTCGTTACGCGGCGCCGAAGCAACGTCTCCTCGCCGAGTCTCGGACCAGCTGCCCGGGGCAAGTGGGCCACCTTTCAGACGCCTGCGCAGCGCCCCGCATCGGCGCGAGCTCGGCCGACGCGCGCGTCCTCCAGCAAGCCCAGCGCGGCGCGCGCGGCTGTCGCCATGCCCGCCGCTGCGGGGAACTGGCTGAGAAGGAGCTGACCGTCCCGGCGCTCCCATGCGCCCACAACGGCATGCTCTGACAGCAAGAAACAATGTTCTTATAACGTGGCCCGGAGTCGCAAGACAAAACAAACAGTCGCAGCCAGATGCGTTCCAAGAACGTGGCCAAAAAAACAAAAAATGCATGGACAATTGTTCAGTGGGCACGCAGGGACGCCTCGCCACTGTTCGAACTGGGCGGCGACCGTGCCGCCGCCGAGCGAACGCCGATCGCGCGGCGGGGCGGCTCTTTGGCCGAGAGGGCCACGCGCGCGAGGACGCGGTCCGCGGCCCAACGAGGGCGCGCCGCGGTGGCGACGCCCGGCGGAACGACAACTGCCGCGACAGGCTTGGCATGGAACGCCCGCAATCATGGGTCCGCGCTGGAGCTGCGGGCGACGATCTGGCCATTGTTCACGAACCAAAAGCTGGCGAACTGCTGAAGACTGCCCTGGGCCCCGCTGCGGGCCGCGACCCGCGCGAGACCCTACGCGCGCGGCAGCGCCCCCCTCCGGGTCGCCCCGATCGGCGCCTCGGCCCACGAGCAATTATTGCTCGCGCGGACAAAACGGCGGCAGGTTCGCGATGCATCCACGAGATCGGGCGCAGGAGGGCGGGTAGCTCCGCGACAACGACGTCGCGGATGCGAGCTCACTGACTGGAAGGGAACACATTCTGCGGACGCGCGTCGGCCACTGCCAACGGATCGTCTTCGCAATGGCCGCATCCCTCCTGCAGGAGCTCCTCCAGCGCGCTGCGCCAGTGGACGAGCGCCTCTGTGCCATCCAGCGCGCCGGCCCCGAACTGTCGCGCAGCAGGACGTCGCGCCTGGGCGGGTTTACGGCGCGCGCGGATCAGCTTTGCGCCTGGGCCACCAGCCCTGATGGGGCGTGGAGTGGCGCCGCTATGCAGGCGGAGGAACGCCGCGCGGCTCTCCAAAATCCAGCGCGCCTCTGCGCAGAGGCGGCCGCCGGCCGCCTCCTCGGAGAAGAAAGCGATGGCTCGTCACGTCGCAGCCGCAGCGGGCGCCGGAACGCCCGGGGGCGGAGCATGCCATGACGCGCGCGCGCAAGCTGGGGATGATCTGGTGCATGTCACGTTGGACACATTCGCGACGAAGGAACCAACAGCGCAGAAAGTTGGCCAGCCCCATGAACTCGATGAGCGCCGCCATTTTCAAGATGGCGCCAAGCCCCTTCCAGCGCGTCGCACGAAGGCAAGCTAGAGTTGGCAATGACAAATCAAGGTCTCGAGCTCCCGGCAGGCACTATAGCGATCATCGGCGCGAACGCGCATGCAAACCTCGGAAGCAAACCGCCGCCATGCACTCCATCGCCGAGTCCCCCCGTCTGCAGGCAAGCGAAATCGTCGCCAACGATCCTCCGGCATCTCCATCGCGGGAAGCTGGAACGAATGGAGAGGTCGGGCTTGCCCCGCGCCCCTCCGCGCGCCCACTCGGCTCGCGCGCTGAAAATGACTTTTCGCAGGCGCGTTGGCGCCTGGGGCCTCGCAGCTAACGCCACTCTCTCTCTCTCTCTCTCTGACCCCGGCCAGACGCGGCCGCCGTCGGGGAGCCGTCGACGGAGGCGGGTAGCCCGCTCCACTAAGATGGCAAACCTTCGCTCGGCAGGCAGGGTAGCAATCCAAAGGCAATCGCAAGGTCGATGGAGAACTCCATTCATGTCACGCTCTGCGGGGAGATCTCTGCGCCGTCGCGATTCCGTTCCAATGTTGAAAATAACAGCGCCAGCGCTGAGCAGCTGGCATCTTCAATTATCTGCCCCCGTATGTTCTGGGAATGCAGACGCGGCATCAATTTCGCACTTGGTGCTAAGGGGCCCCCTTCGCACCCGAGAAATCCCCCTCTGCGCCCGCCCGGTTGACCGAGGGGTCAGGGGCGGGCGGGGCCGGGGGCGAAGTGGGAGAAGACAATGCAACCGTCGTCGCTGAGCCAGGTCGCGTGCCCCGCAGACGCCGAAGCACTGTCGCAGTCGCAGGCGGCGCGCTGGATGTCCGGGCCCTCGACGGCACAGGCAACGCGCTCACTCGGTGGCCCACGGGCCCCCGAGCGCCCAGAGGCTCGCGCATGATCGCAGACGTCTGGAGCAGCGCTGCCCTCGCCATCCAGGCCAAGCTGCGCCCGAGGGCCTCCTTCGTCGGCACCGCCGTGCAATGGTTCAGCGACGTCATCGCCGACTCTGGGCTTGAACGCGGGCGCGACGCGCTTCTCGCCCTGGGCCCTTGAGCGCAGCGGCTCGCGCCGATGCGACATTCGCGGCCGCGGCCTGCGCGAGGTCGCGCAGCTGCCGACCTCGTGGACGCCGCAATAGGACCAGCGCCGGCAGGGCGGGCCATCCGGACGCAACCACAGCCCCCTCGTCCGCAGGGCGGTCGCATGCCAAGAATGGGCGCTCTACTGCATTGCGAAATGCCCAACTCCGTTGGCTGTGATGCTACTGCCGGCGTCTTGCCAAGGGCCCCGGCGATCCCTGGGCCCGATGTCCTCGCCCAGCAGCGCGGCCGACATGAGTTTCGCGTGCGACGCAGAGTCAGCGCATTGCATCTGTGGGCACCAGGCCCTAGGCCCAGCTTGCCTCGAGACGAATTGCCGCCGCTTGCGAGCGTTGGGCGCCTTGGTCAACCGACGCAAATTGGACGCTGGCTATCGCGGCGCGGTCGGGGCCGCGGCGCGCGGCCTCGCCGCCGCGTCGAAATCGGAGGTCGCCGGGCTGTCCAGGACAGGCGCCGCCCCCGCGCACAACCATGCCACCATCTTCAACGGGGGCGTTCTCGTCGCAGTCTCCGCGGCGCGGTGGAGGCGGCAACGGAGAGGCTGCTGGGCGCAGGAGAGCACAGAAATCATCGTGCGCGGATCGGTCCAACATCATCCCGCAATGCTTCGTGCGCGGTGGCTGGGCTAGTGGTGAATCACGCGCGCGCGCTCGTGAGCCGAGATCCGACACTGGGAGAAGACGTAGCCCGCTTGCTACCCTGGCCTCGCAGAAGGGCAGATCCATGAGTCCCCTGTTTTTGGAGCGCGCACCACTCTATAGAAGGCCAACGACGTGGAAACCTGGAGGTGACAATGAAGAAATGGAATCTCCGCATGAATGATCTTCGGGGTCGGACTTCCCATGGCGCGCGTGGAGATGGATTCGCGCGCCAAGGGCCGCTGACGTCGTTCGTCGCTCAAGTCGCCTTCGAACTCTGCCCTCTTCTCGGCCTGCGCGCGCTCGACACTTCCCTCTTCTCAGCCGTCGCGCGGTAGCCCAGCTGCGAAAAGCCTTGAATATCCTTTCTCTCGGACCGCAGCTCGTTGCTCTTGACGATCAGTCTGCGCGGGTCCTCGCGCGCAGCGTGCATCCACCAGCCTGAAGGTGGTCCGCCGTCGAGATAATCTGATTCGAAGCCTGGGTGAGAGTGTCAAAAAATCGAGCCCAGATCCACGCCAAAACTTTAGGTGCTGAGCAGAGTCGTCCAACAGTCTCGCGGCATATCATCCAGATCTGTCCTGGTCCAGGGCTTCAGCCTAGGCGAGGTGCAAAAGGCGCACGGGCGTCGCACGACGTGAATGGGCTAGCCACGAGATAGCTGTCCAGGGTATATCATGCCCTTTCAATATAAGTACCACGGCGATCGCAGGGCCCCGGAGAAAGGTGAGATCTGTCGAGGACGAGCGGGGAACGCGCGACCTGAACTTTCGCTCACTCACGACGCCAAGACCCTGCAGGTCTTTTCCAGGTGCTAGGCGCGGAAGAGCTGCAGCGCAAGAATACGTCGCTTCCCCTTCCAGGCCCACAGGGGGCACCTCGGCGCGCCTGCCCACTCTGAGGGCGCCGGTGATGCTCCTGTCGCGGTAAATCGGTGGACATGTAGCGCGGGTGCAATTCTCCGCCAATTAAGATAACATGCCGCGCGGGCTGAAGTTTTTGAAATCGGGCACGACCTCCGCTAGTTGCGCGCGTCACCAGCTCGCGCTCGCCGGCAACAGTCTTCGCGAAACAATAATTCGATTCGTCTCGTGCGTCTGCGTGCCTTTAAGCGCGTTAAAGACAACAGACGCCTTCGTCGCCAGTTAGCTGCCTACGTCGATGGATGTGAAAGCTGTGACTGCGGTTGCGTCCTCAATTACATACGGCCCGTCGCGGATTCCAGGAGGCCCCCTGCAGATGATCATTTCTTCGCGTCCACTCCGGAAAAAAAAAAACCCTGATGCCTTCCAGCAGCATGTGATATTTGTGTAGAAGAAATTTGAGGTCTTGACGACCTTGGGTGGCGCACCTCGGTTGAATATGAGGTTGCCCCCGATGTCAAAGTCCAGGAGGGCGAAGCTCCAAAAAATTGCGCGATGGCGAAGCGCGCGCGCTTGATGGTCAAGGCAAGCTCGTAGGCAACCGCCTGGTAGGTGGTAGCCTGCGCTTGCACCGGCAGCCCCGGGATAAGGTCAACTTTCGCGCCACCTAGTCATGTCAAGAAACCTGGAACCCGTGCTTGCTGAAGCGCACGCTAGCGAACGCCCCTTGTCAGGGCAAGCGGCCTCTGTCCTCGGGGACCGGCTGCGGGGCGAAGCCATCCGGCGTGCTTGGGGCCGCGTCGGGCTCGGAGCTGGGGGGAGGAGTTCGCGGCCCCAGGTGCGCGGTTTCACTTGGGGCCGCAGGCGACCCGAAGAGGAGGAGGAGGAGGAGGAGGAGGAGGAGGAGGAGGAGGACGAAGAGGAGGGGAGAGGGGGAGAGAAGGAGGGGGAGGGGGAAGAGGAAAAGGAGGAGGAGAAGAAGAGGAGGAGAAAGAGGAGGAAGAGGAGAGGAGAAGGAGGAGGAGGAAAAGGAAAAGGAGGAGGAGGAGAGAAAGAGGAGGAGGGCGGAGGAGGAGGAGGAGGAGGAGAAAGAGAAACAGGAGGAGGAGGAGGAGGAGGAGGAGAGAAGGAAGAGAGAGCGGAGAAGGAGAGGAGGAGGAGGAGGAGGAGGAGGGAGGAGGAGGAGGAAGGAGGAGAGGAGGAGGAGGAAGGAGGAGGAGAAGGAGGAGGAGGAGGAGGAGGAGGAGGAGGAGGAGGAGGAGGAGGAGGAGGAGGAGGAGGAGGAGGAGGAGGAGAGGAGGAGGAGGAGGAGGAGGAGGAGGAGGAGGAGGAGGAGGAGGAGGAGAGAGAGAGGAGGAGGAGAGAGAGAGGAGGAGGACGGGTCGCCTAAGCACTCCTGAGAAACCCTCCCCCCCCAGGAAGCCTGCTCCTCTGGCGCCGGCGCGGCCACCTCGGTGTGGACAGAACCCGCGGCCGTAGGGTGAGCTCCTTCGCGGGCCAAGTGCCGCGCCCGCCGCGCTCGAGCTGTTTTCTGGTTCACATACCAAGGGCCTCGCGCAGCGGCCGCCTCCTCGGCCCGTGCGAGCAGCTCCTTTTCTGAACCAGCAATCCACAAGGCGAGGCATCCGGAGAGCTCGGCCTTCAAAGTGCGACCCCGCGGCGGCTGGCCGCCTACAGCGTGCTCCGGGGCTCGCTGGAGGCAGCGCTCGAGTTCGAAAGAGGAAAGCGTCGCGAGCCTCCGCTGACTCAAACTCCAGAGGCGGCTGGGCGGCCTCCACGGCGCCGTGACTGCCCCGCGCTCTGTACCCCTCCTCGCGTGGCGGCCAAGAGGACTGCGCGAAGGCTGCACCGCGGGCACACTCGGGCACAAACGAATGTTGCTCAAGCCAAGCTGGCCGCGGGCACACTGGGCCAAAAGCGCTTGAGCCAGAAATCAAACGATCGGGCGTTTGCATCCACCGAGGGAAGATGATCCCGATCTCGGTGGTGGTGGCAATACTCGGGCTCCTCAGGCGGCAGATACCTCACCGCCAACACCAGAATCTGGGATCATCTTCCTCGGTTTAACCACCCCCCTGTGCAGGTGTTGGCGCCAATTTCCAAGCCTCCAATACCCCTCCCCATTCTTGGATGAGCGTTTTCTTATTCGGCGTTTCGACATTGAGAGAAGAGTGGGGGGAAGGGGGGTCTGGCTCTGGACCTCTGATCAGTGCGACTGGGCCCGCGCCGATCGGCAGAACAAGGAATCACAAAACGCTCACTAGGGGCATCTGCAAGAGGTGCGGCGACCGACCGTGCGCCGTCCGGTGACCTCGAAAATCCCTCACCAAAAGAAAGCCTCTCGCGGCACTGTCTGTCGGCACCCGGTATGTTGGGGGACCCATTGGAGGCCCCGATCTCGCCCGAGAGACATCCTGGGACGGGGCTCGACCTAAACGGTGTTTGGTGAGCGTTGTTTTATTCGCCGTTTCGACATTGGGCGGAAAGGGGGGGAGAGGGGTCTGGCTCCAAATTTCTGCGTAGTGCGACTGCAAGAGTGCTGCCTCTGGGGGAGGCTCCACCTACTCGAAAAAGACCAAAACAACAGCCAAGATCCAGGGGGGGAGGGGGGGTCCGAGGGCCCGCGCCGATCGGCAAAGCAATGAATGAAAAAGATCACTTTCCGTACTCGTTCTGTTTTCGTTGTCCCCTCGAGCTGTCTTCGTTCCGCCTCTCGCTGCGGAGCGAGATCAAAACGAACACGACCCACGAGATCGCGGAAAAGCACCGCGTCGGTCGAGCCCTGTCCCAGGGAGAGCGAGCCAGATCCCCAAACCGTGGCGATTCGCCGTGGCCACCCCAAGAGGCCCCACCGACACAGCACACGGCGTGAGCACCGCACCGTCTGGGGGCCCAAGGATTTCTCGAGGGTGGAGAAGCGACAGGCTGCGCAAACTCTCGACGCTCCGCGCATGTGTCCTGGACTTGCGCTGGACCCCGTCCCTGGCGCGCGGGGCCAGTCAGGGGCGGCGACGGAGGCGTCACCATGAGGTCCTGGCGGCAATCCAGGAAGTCCGCGGAGAACCCCGACCAAAAAAATGTGTACGGCATGTGTTCTTCTTCGAGCGGGACCCGCTTCCTACACTTCTCGCTGTGCCTCGAATACTGCCGCATGGCCGCCCGAGAGAAGACCTCCACCGAGCCGTACATCAAGGGGTACACGGCCAAATCTGGCCAAGCGTTGCAATTCATTACGAAGAGGCCGCCGTGGTTCCCGTGACTATGCTGGGTGCTGCCAGAGGTGACGAGACGAAGTCAAGAACGGGGCACAATCAAATCGGCATCGATCCCAAGGCGTGCTCGCGTCGTGGAACCATCACGCTGGGAAGAGCTCGGCCCTTGCTGGCCTCCGAGGGCCCTCGCCGAGCCCCCAGTACCGTCCACAGACTACTCGGGAGGAGAGCACTTGCCCCGGGGAACTGGTCGGGACTCCTGGGGAACGAGTACTGACAGGATCAAGAATTCGCATTTGTGGCTCAGAAATCTATGGGATCCAGCGGTTCTTAAGGACGCATCCCGTCGGGTATCGGGCGCCGCGGCCGTTCCAGGACCGGGCTGCACCTCCGGCAGCGCCCGATTATCTGTATGCGGCTCCAACCGCCACCGCAACCTGTCGGGCAAGAAGACGGCATCGGGGTCTGCTTTCACCGTCCAGTCGTGATCCCAGATGGAGCCTTCCGCGAAGATCATTTCCCATGCCTTCATGAAGATCCCTGCGTTCCCTGCGGTGCCGTCCTTGATCACCTCGACCTCCATCTTGGGAGTCTTGAGAGTCTCCCTGCCAGCGATGGTGGTCACGTTGTCAGCGAAAATTCTAAAGCTGTCGCACGCAAAAATACCAGTGCGCTCCTTCCACTGATACTCCACCAACGCAGGCTCGTAGGAGTCTATCCTGAGGAACGTGACGCAGAACAGCGAAGGATAGCCCACCAGCGCAAGACCCCAGCTCCGGGTGCCGAGTTTCTTGCAACTCCAGGTGCTGTTCGCATGGCACTTGTCCGCGCACGTCGCGTGAGCGCTGTCCTGGGGAAGCCAAAAGATCTCCCACCTCGGCTCCCCGAGCCTCTCCCGGGGTGCGCTCTGACCAGAACTTCGAGGCGAATCCAGCGGTGACGACGAAGACCTCCCAGGAGGCCCAAGAAGGGAAGAGAACGAGGGCAGGGCAGCGGCATCGGTAACCTATTCCTCATCCGAGGTCCTTCTCGTAACACTGCATCCCCCTGCCAACGCAGCACGAGGTGCCGCTGCAATCTGCGCCGTCCTCGGAGGAGAAAAAAAACCATGGCACAACTGTACGCTTTCCGAGGCCCGCGCAGAGTTGTCCGGGGTCCGCGCGGGGCGCGCGCCAGGGGTGGCACTGGAGGCGCCGCCGGGTGGGCCCCAGCGCAGATGCGATAAATCCGTGCGAACCCCAGAAATTGACAGTCGAAGCGCTGTCATAAGGAACCCCAACTCAGGAACGAGGCCCCTTGCCATCAATTGAGCTTCGACTTCCCATAGAAAACCTGAGGGAAACCTAAACAAATGGTAAAGCAATCAAGAAACTCTGAGCCCCTCCCCAACGAAAAGGGTTCCTTCTTCAGCGCCACGGCTGTATGTTCACGTCGCCTTCTTCTTCTCATTATTATTGATATTTTTACCTGTACGTCTCTTCTTCTTATCATTTGTCTTCTTCCGTCTTCGAGAGGAAGAGATAGAGAGAGAGAGAGAGAGAGCCCTGCGCAGATGCAAGAACCCTGGGCGAAGCCCCAAAAGGGTATGCTTATGTCTGATTTCCTTCACGAGTCCTGGGAGCACGAGTCCTTGACCCACCCACCGACCTTCCCGCCGAGGGGCCCGCTGGGCAGCTCGGTCGGGGGCGGCGGGGTCCGGTAGCCCAGCTCCGTGCACGGGCCGCCGCCCTCCGGGCAGCTCGCCAGGCAACGGGCCGACTTGCCGCCCACCTCGTAGCACTGGAGGCCGCTGGTGGCGCAGCACCTGCTCTCGCGGCAGTCGTCCGCGTCCCCAGAGCAGTTCGCCTTCGTCCAGTTGCCGACGGTGGAGAGCGCCGCGGCACCGACCTGGTGGCAACTCCACGGGTCGCCGTTGTCGAGGTCGAAGTACTGGGGGCCGGGGGCGCACTGCGGCATGCACCTCGCAAACGTGTCGTTCTTGGTGAAGCAGGCGAAGCCGGGGTCCTAGAGGGACAAAACACATGCATAAGCAGACTCGGACACACGAACAGTAGCATCAGGTCGGGAATGTCCCCCTACAGGCAGAATTTGGACGAAAAATAAAAAAATAGTCCATAAATGTTCACAATTTGTCAAGAAGTAGTCGAAAAATCGTTCCCGGACTATTTGTTGACCGTTTTTTAAATATTCCTCTTCAGAGGGGCACGCCCGACTTCACAATAGCATAAATACAAACACTTGTAGTTCCGCGTGGAGTTCCCGAACCGGCGCCCGAGCTCCCTGGCGGAGCCTCTGGCGCCACTTTTCTGGCGCGCTCCGCGCACCAAGGAGGGCGGTCAAGCGCCGAGCCAAGAATTCCGCGCAGACGTCCAAAAGAATATGTATGTGTATGTTTCCCCGGCAAAAACTTTCTCGGCGGTGGACAAACCTCCCTTTAGTAAACCACCCTTTAGTGAAAACGGCCTGGGACCGAAGCTGACGGACCTGGACCCGCAGAAATGACGGCAGCGACGCCCTCTCGCGAACCGAACAAGACCAAGTCGCTGATCGGCGTGTCAGGGTATAGGAGATCCATCGACCTCCGACGTTCGAAACTCCGCGCAGGTCTCTTGGATGAGCGCTGGACCTCCCCTCCCTGGCGCGTGCCACGAGGGAGTTCCAGCGCCGACCCAAACATCGTTTTTTTTTTGTTCTGGCGTCCAGCGGCGAACGAGGCGACAGCGCTCCCCCGCGCGTGCTCGCGAAAGCGCGGTGCAACCAATTAGAAGGAGGAGGAGGAGGACGAGCAAAAAAAAATTGGCCTGGCGAAGGACCCAACCATATGCAGCTGCGAGTACCGCAAGGATACCAGTGTCAAGCTCCCCCCGACCTTCGGTGGAGATCCCTATGGGGCCACGAAACGTGTGAGGGGTGTGCCGAAATTGGTGTTGGGGTGTGCCGAAATGGGTGGTGGGGAGGCATGCGAACCCTGCCACTGGGGCCTTCGGTGGAGCTCCCTATGGGGCCACGAAACGTGTGAGGGGTGTGCCGAATGGGTGGTGGGGAGGCATGCGAACCCTGCCACTGGGGGGTGGAGCTCCCTATGGGGCCACGAAACGTGTGAGGGTGTGCCGAGATGGGTGGTGGGGAGGCATGCGAACCCTGCCACTGGGGCCTTCGGTGGAGCTCCCTATGGGGCCACGAAACGTGTGAGGGGTGTGCCGAATGGGTGGTGGGGAGGCATGCGAACCCTGCCACTGGGGCCTTCGGTGGAGCTCCCTATGGGGCCACGAAACGTGTGAGGGGTGTGCCGAGTTGGGTGGTGGGGAGGCATGCGAACCCTGCCACTGGGGCCTTCGGTGGAGCTCCCTATGGGGCCACGAAACGTGTGAGGGTTGTGCCGAAATGGGTGGTGGGGAGGCATGCGAACGCAGCCACTGGGGCCTTCGGTGGAGCTCCCTATGGGGCCACGAAACGTGTGAGGGGTGTGCCGAAAAGGTGGTGGGGAGGCATGCGACCCTGCCACTGGGGCCTTCGGTGGAGCTCCCTATGGGCCCACGAAACGTGTGAGGGGTGTGCCGAAATGGGT